CCACTCTGAACTGTGACATCCTGTGTCCCCTGGGGAGAGGGATCCACCCTGGCTGGATCCAGGCTTTGCTCCAAGGTATCCTTTAAGCTGCATAAATGATGAAGCAATGTATAAATATCCATTGCTAGGCCAGGAAAAGCAGCAATTCCGAAAAAAAAGCCAGGAATGAAGATGAAGGATTGACTTTCTGGGCCAAGAATGCCAGCAAATGTGGTAATAAAAAGGGAAAGGCAATAAAAATGTTACATTCCAAATCACATTCCCATCCTTGTTATTACAGGGAGATATTCCCGGGTGTTCTGCTTTAGATGGGAATCTTATTTCAATATTAAAGGAATACAAACCAAGCACTAGAGGCAAATACAAGAATCAGCCATAAAATCAGAGTTTGCTTCATTTGGGCTTCACCCAGGAGGAATTTGCTTTGTCTGCATTTGGAAGCAGGAACAAAAGAAAAATGGGAAGAGCTTCCTTTGTACCTGTCCTGGCACTGGGAGAACTGGGAACATCGCATTCATGGAATATCCCGAGTAGGGGGGTCCCACAAGGATTATGGATCAAGCTGCTGTCCCTGCCCAGACCCCCAACAATCCCACCCTGGGATCCCTGCCAGTGCTGTCCAAAGGCTCCTGGAGCTCTGGCAGCCTCAGGGCTGTGCCCATTCCCTGGACAGCTCTGGAATTGTGGAACCTTTCCCTACTGTCCATCCTATCCCTCCTGGACACAGCTCCAGCCTCAGTCCAGTCCTTGGTAACCAGAGAAAACTCCTTAGGAGAGCAGAGATTCACAATCCAAGCCCTCTCTTCCTCTTCCTCCCATTTTTGGGCTTCTCAAATCCTTCCCAGCATGAATTCCTGGTTCAGGTAATTTAAAACGAAAGGAATTGGGCTCATGGCTAAAAATCCAGACCCCAAACCAGTCAGCGCTGCCATCTGTGCCAGGGTCTCTTTGCTCACAGCCTCTGAGCTCTTCTTCCATCAGCTGATGGATCCCTGGTTTGGAATTCCAGCTGGGAAACTGGGATTTGTGCCATGTTTTCTGCTTAAGGAGGCTTATTTTTGGAAGAAGGTGTCAAAAACAGGGATCCAGGTACAATCAGAACCTGCGGGGTCATCACCAACACCCAGCTGGCTCTTATTTCCCTCTCCCTTCCTCTCTCCTGGGTTTCATCATTTTTCCTGAACAATTCCAGCAAGGAGCTGCTCTTTGCTCCCACTTCCCATCAAATCTCGAGACAGGGAACAAGGGAACCACGGATAATCCTTCAAAACTTGAAGCAAAAGATAAAAGCACCGACGTCAGCCCAAGCTGGTGGGGCCATTTCCATAATCCTGCAGATGAAAGGGAGCCCTTTGCCATCCTTCAGGAGCAAAGCGGGATGGGATAAAAAGGCTGGGACACATCCCTTTCATCCCGACACTCCAGACAGAAAGAACATGGAAATGAGGGTTTGGATACAGCAGTTTCCCTTTATTGACACCACAAGTTTCACTTTCAGCTCCAAATCCCAAAAAAGCAAACAGAAATCCCTGGATTTCTGCAGCCACAAACATGGCAAATTGGATTTAATCTAAAAAATATTAAGAAATTTAGGAAGATTGTTGAGGTTTTCAGCAAATAGGACTCAGTGGAGCAGATAAATGGTCAAACCACACTTATGAAGGGAATATTCCCAATATTCCCAATATTCAGGAATGGGCCTTTACATTGATATTTCTCTGCTAAAGGAGAAAAGAATAGGGAGTTACAGTCAGGGAATCATGGAATCTTGGAATGCTTTGGGTTGGAAGGACCGTAAATTCCATTCAGTGCCACCCCTGCCATGGCAGGGACACCCCCCACCGTCCCAGGGTGCCCCAACGTCCAGCCTGGACTTGGGCACTGCCAGGGATCCATGGGCAGCCACTGGAACATGGGAGAGGTTCGTACATGAAACCCCATTAATTCCAGGAATTACAAATGAAACCTGAAATCCCATAAATTCCAGGAATTCCAAATGAAACCATCCCTGCCAGAAGGCGTCAGGACTAAATGGGGTTTGTTATCATTCTCAAAGCCTCTTCCCAAGCCAAGGTCTGTCCTAAATGACTTCCAGGATTCAGGAGGGGAACACTGGGCCGTGGAGCTTTGACCAGCAAAGCTTCACCCAGCCACAACCTCCAACCCAGCAGAGCCTCAGCCAGCCCACATTCCTGGTCAAAACCTCCCTTGGACTCCGTTAGGAATAATAAAAATCATCACCAAACAATAGCAAGCTCTGAGAAATACTCCCAAAACTTTCCTGGAGCATGCTTTCCAAACATCCCATTTGCACACCCCGAGAACATCTCCCTGTCCTGAGGGCTCCGTGTCCCCCCTGCCCTTTGGAATTGGGGTTTCCTAGTGGCAATCCCACATTTTGGAGTCAGGCTTGGCTTGGCAGGGGACTGTTGGAACCCAGGACATCGCTCTGGCTGCCCTGGGGGACTCCAGACCCTGGCAGGGGCTCAGAGACCTTAGCACAGAGTCACAGACACCTGTGTCTTTGATTTTAGCCCTTGCAAAAAATAATTTCCAACTTTGTGTGAAGAATTACAAGTCAAGAGAGATTAAGTAGAATAATGGTTAGTTTGTCACAGGGTAAAAATGTAGAATTTGGGGTTTTTTTTAGAATGGGGGTTCAGGGGGCAAGATGGAGGAATTTGGGCGTGTCCTGTCTTTCTCCTTCTTCTTGGCCTCCGTTTTCTGCTGTGATGGTGGCACTTCTGGATTGGTTTAAGGTAGAAGCTCACTGTCTAACACAGGTGATAGGTATTGGGAAGTTATGGTAAATAATGTACATGTAGTTTTTAGTNCAGGGTTGGGATTCCTGGGTTAGAAAGGGATGAGCTTTATGGTCCCTTCCCACCCAAAGCATTCCAGGATTCTGTGTTTACCAGAATAATAAAAGCATCATCATAAAACCTCTTTTTAGAGGGTAAAAAACCTGAGAAATTTTTTTTCCCCTTTCCATTCCATTTCGCTTTCAGATTAAAATTCAACTTCAGAACCCTCAAGAAAAACATTCCCTCTCAAAATTCCCAAGTCCTGATCCTCTGAAGCCAAATCCCCTCTGTCCCTCTTCCCATCAGCTCTCCCTGTTTGCATCCCTACCATGAAATGAACTAATTAAGCAGAAGATGTTGATGACTCTTGAACCTTTAATTACATCTTTTCCTCTCATAAACACAGAGCAGATCTTGCCTGCACGGATCCAGGCCATGCTAATTCCAGCTGCCCTCCAATAACTGGAGAAAGGTTATGGATAAGATTGGAATATCACCAGGACAATCTGATTTATTCATTAATTAAACCCACAACGAGATTTTAGGAAGTATGATCTTAATAACCTAAAAAAAAGAATCTAATTTCATGAGACACATTTTAGTAGATGAATTCTTAGATTTTAGGGAAGGCAATCCTCAGCATTTCCATTATGAAATATAAAATAAAAAAAAATCCACTTTCCCTTTTTAATTAAAACATTTCAAAACTCCAGTTTACACTCGAGTCCAAGCAAAGCCCCAGATTTGCTAAACTGAGTCTGTTCATGTTAAATTAAATATAATCTTATTACATTTAGGACACCAGTAACTTGGCTTTGTGATTTAATTCCCATCTCTGCAAGGTTCCGGGCTCCACATTTCTCCGGAAAACACAGAGCTGTTGGAGCAATATAAAGCTGTCAAGTACAATAAAAAGCCACAAATGAAGGTGCTCTCAAATCATTAACTGAAAATTATTTATGAAAGTCGCAATTGCTTTCTGCTCTGAACACCAAATTACCAAGCAGTTTTCACCTCTGTCTTTCCTTGTTATTCCTTCAGATTTTCCAAACCAATTTTTCCCCTTTTTATATTTTTTTTTTCTTCAAACACCATCCCACACTTTTGGCCACAGACAATGGGATTTGCCACCTTTTTTCATCCTGCCTCGGTGCAAATGTGTACAAGATAAATTAATCTCAGCTTATCTGACCGAGCCAGGATTCCTTCGGGGCTGGGAATGGGAGCAGGAACACTTTGGAAAAGGTTTTATTTCCTTTTTTGACACCTCATTTTTAAGGGGGGGAATTGTGAAATGAAACCTTATATTTAAAGATAAGAGAGGCAGGAAAAAAGGAGTATAAAAACCGACATGGGGAGCTCCCACAGAGTCGAGAATCATGGAAATTTTAAGGTAGATCATTAACTCCAAGATCATTAATTCCAACCCTCAGCTGCCACCATCTCCTCCATGAATCCATGTCCTCAAGGGCCACATCCACACTTGGTTTTTGAGCACTTCCAGGGACGGAGACTCCACCCCTCTAATGGGCAGTCTGTACCTCTTCCATAAAGAAATTTTTCCTAAAATTTAATCTACATGAAGAGATTTTTAAGGATGTAATTTAGGCTAAGCGTAGAATCACTGAGTTGGGTTGCGAAGGATGAAGAAATAGGAATCAAATCAGAAGTTTGGGCTTGCAGAATCCAATAAAAATCACTTTTAAAGGCCTCCTGTAGATATCACTCCCCCATTATTTAATAATTAATATTTTTACAAAAATCTTCATCTTCCAGGGATGGAGACTCCACCCCTCTTCTGGGCAGCCTGCACCTCTTCCATAAAGAAATTTTCCCTAAAATTTAATCTGCATGAAGAGACGTTTAAGGCTGTAATTTAGGCTGAATGCAGAATTGCTGAGTTGCATTAGGAAGGATGAGGAAATGGGAATCAGAAATTTGGGCTTTCAGGATCCAATAAAAATCCCTTTAAAAGGCCTGCTGTCAATATCACTCCCCCATCATTTAATAATTCATATTTTTACATGTATTTTATGCCAGCAAATCTATTAACAACACCCAGCAGCATTTGGGTGGGGCATCACCATCTGGAGGCCATCCCCAGTTCCCCACCCCACAAAGCCAGCAGGCAAATCCCATTACAAAACCTCAAGATGGGGAAAAAAAAAATAAAAAAAATCCATATTTTAGTCCTACCTGGGTAAAGAAGGGCTCGTAGATCTCCACTCCCTTGTCGGAGCCCTGCAGCAGCACCTCCTGGCCGCGGCGCCAGCTGTAGCGCACGGGCGGGTTGGAGTTGGCCACGCACCTGAGGAACACGGTCTTCTCATAATAAAACTGCTCCTTGGCTTCCCCGATGCTCTGGTGGACCGTGACTATGGGATCATCCAAATCTGGGAAAAAAAAAAAAAAAACAGGCAGGGAAAAGCAAGTTTAAGCCAGGTTTTAGTTGACAACGCGGAGGCAGGAATTTCCCGCGACGCCTCATAACTAGTCATGGGTGAAACAGAGACAAAACAGCAAGAAAAGCCCCAGATTTTAGGAATTTTGCAGCAAAAGTCAGGTTTAGGATTTATTTCCTTCTCCCCAACTGGATTTCCTTCAAAACTCACATTTTTAGGCAGAACAACGCAGCCAATCTCATGCAAATGTCAATCATATTTCTATTATAGTGCGATGATTACCGCGGTTTCGTCTGGTTCGCAGCTTTACTCCTTGTTTCTTCTAACTCTTTTCCACAAAATTATAAAGCTTTGGCAATAAATAGACAGCCTGATTTGCATCCAAATGGCAGGATCCAGGAGTCCATGGATCATGTGCACGCAGCTGTTTGCTTTTAAAGCTGCAATTTAAGGCAGCAATTTAATGCAGATTCCCTGCTTTTAGTTACAGGCATTTAACTTCCAGCAGGTAAATTCATCCCGGGCTTTGGAACACATTTCTCTTGATTAAAATACAGATATCGGATAATTACTCCCACTGAAGCAGCTCCAAGAAAATGAGATGCCCACAACGAGGAATTGGCTTCCACAAGGAATAAAAACACAATAGCCCTTGGAATATGAGGATATCAAAGTAATTAATTTGGGTTTTATCCCACCAGGAAAAAAAAAAAGATTCCTGGTCTGGGGTTTTTCTGAGCTTTGTCTGGAGGGACAATTTTTATTGAGGAAGGAAAGAAATGAAACAAGGAAAAGCAAGGAAAGCAAGGGATGTTTGTGCTAAGTACTGGTTAAAAACACACAACTTCCAAATGGCCACTCTCACAGCCAGGAATTCCTTCCTAATATCCCATCAGTCCTGGCTCCCTCCCAGTGGGAAGGTATTCCCCCTTCTCCTGTCCTCCCATCCCTGGAAACCAACAGTTTCAGTGGGAAGAANTGGACACTGGGGCTTGGATCACCTGGGATAATGGAAGCTGTCCCTACCCATGGAAGGGGTGGGAATGAGATGGACTTCAAGGTTCTTCCCATCCAAACCGTTCCAGGATTCCCTGAAAGAGCCCCAGATTCCAGAGCTGAGTGCAGCCAGGGCAGGAGGTGCTGCTGGGACTCACCAGTCTTGTTGGAGAGGCGGAAGGACACCATTTTATCCGGGATGCTGCAGACATTCCGCACCGAGGCGATGCAGCTGTAGTTGGCGTAGTCCTGAGGTCGCAGATTCTTCAGCTTCAGGATCTTGGTTTCTCCCTGGAAAAGGAGGAGAGAACGTCAGGAAGGGGCAGAGGAAAAAAGGCTATGGATCTGGGATGTCCATCCTCCTCCAGCATTCCCAAGTGGATTTCTTAGGATTGACCCCGGATGTTACATCCACAAGTGTCACAGTCAAATTTTCTGAAAAATCCTTTCACCAGGATTTCTTCTTCTGGGAAGCTGAGAAGTCTCAGAGAAAAAGGAAAACAATATTATGTCATTTATTTCTCCTGTGTTTTGCTGCTTTGGAATGTGGTTGGAGATTGTTTATCCAACATGTGAATTGTTCTGACTTAATGACCAATCACCATCCAGCTGTGTCAGGACTCTGGAGAGTCACGAGTTTTTCATTAGTACCTTGTTAAGCCTTCTGTCTGTATCCTCTCTCCATTCTTTAGTATAGTTTTAGTATAGCATTCTTTAATATAATATAACACCATAAAATAATAAATTAACCTTCTAAGAACATGGAGTGAGATTCATCATTTCCTTCCTGCCGTAAAAGACCCTGAAAATACCACACACAAAATACAACAGGACTGGTCCAGAAGGGATGACCCTAAAAAAAGGAGTAAATTCACAAGAAATTCCACAAAATGGAAAGAGTTTTTCCAAGGATTCTACCTAAAGGCTTCCATATCCTCCCCCAAAGGATTTCCAAAGGATACAGTGAATAACAACACTGAAAAGTGAGGGGGAAATTGCTCTGATGGAGTCCCTCAAGTGGCAAATTGTTCAGGATAATTTATTATGAGGTACAATTTCCATGAAGAAAAAAATCTCAAGGTACAAAATTCCTCATGCTTTCCTTTAAAAATGAAGAGCTGATGGATTCTATTTTTAGCCATGGAGCAGGGAGCTGAAAGGGACATGGAATGTCAAATTTCTTTCCAAAATGGAAAGCAGAAAATAGGGAAATGGAAAACATGAGATTTCCCCTGCAAAATTCCAAAATAAAAATGTGGGAAGTGTTCATTATCCAGTGTCCCAATAAATCTAAACAACTTGAATATTGGCACAGCCTTAGGAAGGTATGGAATTATTTTTAACAATATCAGTGGATAACCTGCTTAGGAATGTCTAGGGAAAATATGGAAGTTTGAGAAAATGTATGTATAAAAATGGGAAAAAAATAAATCCAAATAAAAATACAGGTGAGCAGGGAAGAAAGGCAACAGTCCTTGAAATTTTGGAGAGATTTTGAGAATGTTGGGATTTAAATGATTTCCATGGACAACCAATCCCATGGAAACGATGGGATTAAAATGAAGCCCATTGCAAGGTCAAGCCTTGGAAAAGCTGATCCTAAAAATCAAATTCCTGCTTTAGGAGGTTTCTTTGGAACTGGGAAGAGCCTGAGAAGGCATTGCCTTAGAAACACATGGACATGGATAAACTGCCCAGGAATGTCTGGGGAAAATGAGGATATTTGAGAAAATGAAAGTACAGAATTGGGAAAAAAAAAAATAAATCCATCAAAAAAATATAGCTGAGCAGGAAAGAAAAGAAAGAGTCCTTGAAATCTTGGAGACACTTTGAGAATATTGGGATTTAAGTGGTTTCTTTGTACAACCAATCCCATGGAAATTATGGGATTAAAATGAAGCCCATTGCGAGGCTAAGGCTATTGGAAAAGCTGCTCCTAAAGATCAAATTCCTGCTTTAGGANCAAATGCAGAACAGCCAAATTCCCCCATTCTGATCCCACAAATTAAACACAGAACCACAGCAGTGACAAAAACCTGGGACATCCTTGCACCTCTCAGATGTTCCTGTCTCCATCCCATCCCTCCAGCTTCCAATTAAATCCCATGGACAGGACAGGACTGAAACAGCTTCAACTTCAGGCTCTGATTTTCATTACTTTGGATTTATCCTGGATTCCTCTGGATTTACAATTTCTCTAATTTCTCCCAAGTTACAGCAGGTGAAGTTCAACTGAAGAACTTCTGTGAGGTGAAGTTTTATTAAATGAGCGAAGTCCTCCCCACCTCAGTCCCTGTCCTTAATGAGCTCCTGCATTAATCACTTTTCACATCTAATCCCACCCTTGAAGCTTGTGATCAAATTCCTCATGGAAAAGAGAGAATCTTTGCTATTTTCCAGGCTTGTTTACTTGGGAAATTATTCCAGAAAAGACATTTTTCTCCCCAAATAACCATGACACATGTAAGGTGGCAATAATTTCTTCTTTTGGCAAAATTCTTTTGGCAATGAGAGTTTGCTGCTCCCCAAGTGCTGGAACATCAAATTTTTTTTTTAAGATGAGGCTCAACACGAACTGAGACTCTGCTGGCTCCAACAGCAAAGTAATTCCAAGGAAAAATGGGAGCAGGATCAATTCCCACACTCTCTTGCTGTGGATGAGGGTCAGGAGTTGCTCCCAACTCCCAAACCGACCTCTCATGGAAAGGATTCTCCTGCCAGGAAAGCAGAGCTCCTCATGAAGTTCAAACCTCACTTCAGGATATTTTTTTCCCCTGGAAAAATTTATGGGAGTGTAAATTAAGGCCTTCCAGGTCATTTTCCCAGGTATCTTCTGAGCAGACCATAATTCTTGGTGAAGCTGCTCTTTCAAGGGTTGTGGACAGCAGTGGGAAACCACAGCTCTGCTGCCCAAATCAGCAATTCCAAAAAAGCTGGAGGAAACTCCTTGGAATAAAGCCCTGAGGATGGGAATGATGGGAAATATGGAAGTGCAAATAAAATTCCTCGTTGATCCCAGCCATGCTCAGCATTTTAATTTTGTGTTCATTTTCTCCCGGATTTCAGACACAAATTATTAAGGCTAACCCACCCTAATCTAACCTGAAGTCTCCAAATGTTCCAACACTTCCTGTGGAATTGTTATCCAAAGCACATTCCCCTGAAATTCCTGATTAGTCAGAAATCCAAGCTCAGTTTGGCTCTTTGGTGGGAGGTTCAGAAACCATTTCAGACACGTCCTGTGCTGATCCTGGACATGCAGCCTTTAGGAGAGGTAAAATATGGGATTTCCATCCTCCCCCAGCATTCCCAAGTGCATTTCTTGGGATTGACTGTGGGGTTACAGCCACAACGAGAGGGAGAGACACAACTGACTGATCCATAGGGGATGAGACCAAAAACCAGAATAAATTCACAACAAATTCCAAAAATAGAAACAACTTTTCCACAACTTCTACCTAAAGGCTCAGAGACTTTCCCACAAAAGGATTTCAACACAACCCCTTGGGTATTTCCACTTGGAACAATTAAATCCGAAAGGAAACATTTTGGTGGGAATCAATGAAGGAATTGATGTTTAGGTCGATGTAAGAAAAGGTCAAATCAATCCCTGGAATCAATGCCAGAGCAGAGAAAGGTTGGGGTTTTCCCATGAAATATTTTGTGGAATAAAAATTCTAAAGTTTCAACAGCTCAGGGAAGACAAGGAACTCCTGGAGGGATTCCAGAGGTGATGGANGAAAGGGAAAGAGGGAAAGGGAAAGAGGGAAAAGGAAAAAGGGAAAAGGAAAGAGGACAATTCCTCATTCCATGCCAGGACTACATTCCCTGTGAGGCCTGCAGGGAGCCAAAACCAGCCAGGATAACCGGATTGGTACGGCAAGGTTTAGACATAATAAGGAACAGGACCGGGGGATCACTTGGGATCCTTTCCAGATTTATTTCTTATTATTCCTTTTTGCTAAGGAATTATCCTGGAAAAGCTGTGGCTGCCC